AGTAGCATGCTGGGCCCATAACTCAGAGGTCAATGAATCGAAGCCATCCTCTGCTAATTTGGCTGTCCCCGTCTCTAAAGGCCGGGTAACACCAGCCAGGCCATTACAGCCAGCAACCAGAAGCAGGATGTTGAACCCTTCCCCGAGACAGAAAAGCTGGATGGTCTGGAAGGGCCCCAGAAAACCACATGGCCACTGGCCTGGACAAGTTCGGAGCAATGAGAATTACCAGGATGCCCTCTATCTCGATCCTGCGGAGCAACTAAGGGAGAAGCCTTGGAGGGGTGTGACAGGATCGAGAGGTGAGCGAGCGCCGGTATGTGTTCTCTCACCTCCCGATCTCCTGAGCCGACCTGTGACAGTCTCATTGTCACAGGTCGGCTAGAACTATGAGGTGAGTGAAAAGCACCCCCCTCCCCCCCTCATAGTTCTCCTTTAACAAAAAATATGACCTACCCTGAAAATAAGACCTCGTGTGTTTTTTGAGCCCAAAAAAATAAAAGACAATGTCCTATTTTCGGGGGAAACGCGGTAGGAGGAAAGGAGGCGCTAGGCCTCAAAACAACACCAAAAAAGTCTCTCTACAGGACAAAGACAACAACTTAGAGAGCCTCCATGCAGACGTAATAGTGACGAGGAAGACAACCTTGAGAGTGAGATCAACTAAGGGAATATCCCTGGGGGGCTCAAACGGCGGCTTCTGGAGAGCCGTAAGAACCAGATTAAGGTCCCACGGTGTGACGGGAGAGCAGACAGGGATAACAATGTGAGCAACACAAAGGCTCCATCTAAAGTGTGAGTGGCAAGCAGTCTTTGAAACAGAATAAGCAAGGGCCAAGATCTGTCCCTTAATGGTGCTCGAGGCCAGAGGCCGATTCAGACCAGACTAGAGACAAGTGAGAATTCACCCCACATAGAACTTCCTAGGCGGGAATTTTCCTGCTTCACACACCAGGCAAAGAAAGCCTTTGAAGTGCAATGGTAGACCTTGCGAGAGGTTGACTTCCTAACCCTCAACTGCATAGGAGTAACCAAAATCGAGAGGCCCGTCTCTAAAGATTGGCACAGCCAAGTTAGCAGAGGATGGCTTTGATCCATCAACCTCTGAGGTATGGGCCCAACACGCTTCCCATAACGGTGGCATGCGGGAGTGTAAGCAGAGTGGTACAGCAGTAGCATGCTGGGCCCATAACTCAGAGGTCAATGAATCGAAGCCATCCTCTGCTAATTTGGCTGTCCCCGTCTCTAAAGGCCGGGTAACACCAGCCAGGCCATTACAGCCAGCAACCAGAAGCAGGATGTTGAACCCTTCCCCGAGACAGAAAAGCTGGATGGTCTGGAAGGGCCCCAGAAAACCACATGGCCACTGGCCTGGACAAGTTCGGAGCAATGAGAATTACCAGGATGCCCTCTATCTCGATCCTGCGGAGCAACTAAGGGAGAAGCCTTGGAGGGGTGAAGGCATAGATCAAGCTGAGCTGATCCCACAGAGTAACTACAGCATCCTCTGTGAACGCACAAGGGTCCCTGGACCTGGCAACAAACCTGCCTAGTATGTTGTTATACCTGGACACCAGAAGGTTCACGTCTAGAATTACCCATCAGAGGCAGAGAGCATGGAACACCCCTGATTAGAGAAACCATCCCCCCGTTTCCAGACATTGATGACTGAGGAAGTCCTTCTGTGAATTTTCTATGCCTGAAACGTGCACAGGGCCGGATCGTGAGGTTTTCCCTGAGACAGGAAGTGATCTGCTTCTCTGAGCTGTGTGACTTCTGGTGCCTCTCTGACGGTTGATGTAGGCCACTGCTATGGCATTGTCCTACTGAATCCTGGTTGGGTGACCCTGTAGCTGAAAGGTCTAGCATTGAAGGGACAACGGAATTGCCCTGAGCTAAGCTGGGCTTCCTCTGACAATCAAGTTCCCTGTACCAGCCCTCCCCTCCCATTGCTGACTCTTCAGATGACTAGGAGCCCACTGTGGACTCGCACGACCCCCCCAACCCCAGGGTCTTCAGTCCTGTCAGAACACGAGCCGGTATGTTGTCATTGAGGGCTTTATATAGGTATATATGCCTTAGGGTTGTTATATTGTATATGTGCGGTGACTGCTTCTACGATGGGAGTTGTATCCCCTGCTTCCACGATGGGAGTTGTATCCCCTGCTTCCACGATGGGAGTTGTATCCCCTGCTTCCACGATGGGAGTTGTATCCCCTGCTTCCACGATGGGAGTTGTATCCCCTGCTTCCACGATGGGAGTTGTATCCCCTGCTCGATACCTTTGCATATATGCTTGAAAACTTGTCAAATAAAGGAATTTATAAAAAAAAGTTCCATGTGTCAAGAAATTCTCCAGGATTGTCATCACTCCGGTGCAGAGTGGGTTATCCGCCATGCCAGAGAAAGCCTAGCCTTAAGGGTCAGGCCCATGGGGCAATCTAGAGACTGAGCTCCACGAAGACAGGATATTGAGTTGCAATGGCCTGGAGTGAAAATTGGGCATATGGCACTTCCTCAAATGAGGTTACCGTCAGACCCAAAACCCTCCATCCAAGGGCCAAGAATAGGCCAAAGGGTAACAACCGATAGTGTAACGTGCCCACAGGAAAACCCAAGATTAGGGAAACGGGAATGTGCAAATAGACATCCTTGATATTCAGCGAGGCCAAGACGTCCCCTTGCTGGAAGGCGGCAATTATCAACTTGGCCAATTCCACTGGAAATGTCTGGAATCAAAAGCAACCGATTGGCGAGCTTCAGGTGCAAAATGGGAGGTGGTGGTGGTATAGAGATGAGGAGGAGGAGGTGGTGAGGAGGACTTAGAGACGATGAGGAGAAAAAGGGGTTAAACAGATGGAGGAGGAGGAAGGGGAAGAGGGGTTTAAACAGAGGAGGAGGAGGGGTTATAGAGATAAGGAGGACTTAGAGATAATAAGGGGTTAAACAGAGGAGGAGGAGGAGGAGGGGTTATAGAGATAAGGAGGACTTAGAGATAATAAGGGGTTAAACAGAGGAGGAGGAGGAGGAGGGGTTATAGAGATAAGGAGGACTTAGAGATAATAAGGGGTTAAACAGAGGAGGAGGAGGAGGAGGACCATGATCATTTGTATTTCCTTATTTTTCTGCATTGCCCCGACACACGCTTTACCATATTTGAAGAAATGAGTGTGTCCCCCTGACTGCAGCCTGCGGGCCCCTCTAATGGCTCCTGGGAGCAGCAGGACAGGATGTACACAGAGTCTTGGCAGGAGCGGCGGGGGGCCAACACGATCACAAGGCACAGACTCCCATTCAGTCTTAGTTTTGGCTGCTGAGACAGGGACGGCTACAGGAATGCAGTTGTGCAATAATGTTCCAAAACATGCTAAAAACACCGCAAAAACCAATGTTCCCTCTGCGTCTGTCACCCCGCCGTGCGTCTGGAAGCAGAGCGATGGGACGGCGTAGGAGATTTGATGAGGTGGATGTTGACTCGTGGGCAGCCTGGCACGAAGAGTCATTATTTACTGACAATGGGCACTTGTAGCCGAGGAGCGCGCAGCCCGCTGGTGACATCAGCTTGGCCTCGCCGCTCTTCATTCACAGGACTGACAGATAAACATATTTACGGCACGTTCCCGGAGCAGAGCGTTCCTGGACGGCCGAGCCGATCATTTCCAAGAATACCGGCCATGGAGGAGAGCACGCGAGGCCAGTAAACACAACCGACGGGGACAGGCGGGCGATAGACGCCGGACAACCACCAGCCCGGGGGAGGAGTCGGTTGTATTTGGATGAATAAGAATCCGTTTCTACGAGGCTGCGAAAATAAACCGCCAGCTGTAAACAAAAAACACGGCAGCTTTAAAGAGAACCTCCACCGAGAGGAGTATGGAGGCCGCCATTGCCGACCTTCCTCCATGCTTCCTCGTCACCAGGTAATGAGAAAGCATGGAGCCGGCTTTCTGCTAATCAGGAAGCCGGGCACCGAGTCATTACACAGCGCCCGGTTTCCTGATACTGGAAGTTCAGGTACCTCGCCAATCCCCGCCAGAGCACCGGACCTCGCCAATCCTCGCCAGAGCACCAGACCTCGCCAATCCCCGCCAGAGCACGTCGGTGACATCCACGGTCAGTACATGTTTGGAATACTTCCTGGATACAGGAAGTTCAGGTATCGGGCTAGGCATCGGAGTATTTGGGCAAGTACGAGTACTCACCGAAATACTCGGCACCCATACTAGTATCGGTATATCTCTAATCTTAGGCTCCAGTCATACAGAGATAGCATTTTCCTGTGAGAGCGCTGGGCAGTCTGCGCATGCGCAGTAGCAGGCTGAGGGCCGATCACGCGGGCGCTGTACACACAGGAGTAAGGATGGGCTCAGGCGTGTTGGCAGCTCCACGTGCCGAGCCCGCCAGGAAGCTGACAGCGCCAATCACAGGTACCGAGACATTTTCCCGGTCCGCAGCTGCAGAGATCCGGAAATGTCTCAGTACCTGCGATTGGCGCTGCGGCGCTGTCAGCTTCCTGGCGGGCTCGGCATGTGGAGCTGCCAACACGCCTGAGCCCATCCTTACGCAGGAGACGTGGGCAGGTCCGGGAGAGCGGTGTCTGCCCAGCTGGCCGAGGGACTGGTACGGTAATGACGGCTGCTAAGGATCTATGTGAGGGGAATGAGGTGCCTGCAGGGTTATTGTCAGATCTGTTTGGACGGCTCGACACTGATTGGCTGGGGAGCCGGCTTCCCAGCCAATCAGCATCGAACATGCCAAACAGCATGGAGCTGGCTTCCCGATTCCATGTTCCCTCGCGGCACTGAAATCACCCTCTGCTTGGAAGTTCTAGTATCGGGAAAGGTATCGGAGCATCTGGGCCAGTACTCGGCACTGGTACTGATACCGGTGCCTCCCTACTCTTCAGCATTGTGAAACGTACTTCCGACAAATTGCAGAAGCTTTTGCTGCCCCCTTGTGGTCACCCCGTGACACTGATTCTAAGGCCCGTCCATACTCACAAAGCCAGCAGGAGGGAGAAGCCGGCGATGTAAAGGTTCCGCTGGGCTCTGAACAGCTTCATGTGGATGTGCTCCACCGCCACCGGGTTGTTCTTGAGGTCCACCTGATCCCCGACGCCATACTTCTGGATCTCCCGAAATGCATCTGTAAGAAGAAGAAGGAGCTTTGTGACGGAAGGGCTGAGGACCTGGAACAGAGCCGAGCGCCTGCAAGTCATCCTCGTCACATATAAAGTTCTCCGTAGTCGGGATTCCATTTGTCATTATAAATAAAGAACTCTGGGTACAAATTCCATGAACACTTGCAGGCGGTCTACCCCGGCGCTGCGAGGGTTAACGGTTCAGTTCAGTCGAGGGACTAAATGAAAAAAAAGTTATACTCCCCCAATCCTCGGAGCTGGCTGGCTGTGACATATATCAGACCCCCAGGAAGTGATGAAGCAGAGGCCCCCCAATCACTTCCTGTGCAGAGCTGACAGTCCTCGTGACACAGGGAAGCATTCTGCACAGCGGGGGAGGGGGCAGAAGACTTGCCCGGTGTACTCGGATGATGTTTTTGGAAGGTGTGGGCACAGCTGAAGGGGGTAAAGGGTGTACAGCGGGGGAAGGGGGGGGGGCGCTGTATACAGATA